GTATCCACGTTGTTGCAGATGACAAAATTTTGTTCTTTTTATGGCTGAGTAATATTCCATTGTATATAAGTACCACCTCTTCTTTATTCATTCATCTACCAATGGACACTCAGGTTGCCTCCATATCTTGGCTATTGTAAATAATACTGCAATGAACATATGGATTCACACGTCCCTTCAAAGTAGTGTTTGAGTTTGTTTGGAAAAATACAAAGAAGTAGGATTACTGGGTCCTTATAGCCTTTGTTTTAAAGTCTGCTTTGTCTGGTAATATTGCTACACAGCTTTTGCTGTTGTTTCCATTTTCATAAAGTATCTTTTCCATCCCTTTATTTTCAGTCTGTGTGTGTCTTTTGATCTGAAGTGAGTCTCCTGTCGGCAGGTATGTGAGGGTCTTGTTTTCTTATCCACTCAGCTATCTTGTCTTTTTTTAAAAAATAAATTTATTTATTTAAATTAGTTTCAAGTATACAGTATATTGGTTAGACATCTGTTCATAAAACAATCCCCCAATTGCTCCCTCCTTCCCCTGGCCCTCCACTTAGCCATCATAGTAATGCTAACTGCATTCCCTCTGCCATGCTCCCCATGCCCAATTATCAACTACTAATTTGTACTTCTTTAACCCTTCACCCCATTCTCCCAGCCTCCTAACCTCCTTCCCCTCTGTCACCAAATTGTCTACTATATTTGTGAGTCTGTTTTTGATTCGTTTGTTCTTTTTGTTCCTTAGATACCACATTTAAGTGAAATCACATGGTATCTATCTTTCTCTGTCTGACTTATTTCACTCAGCATTATAACCTCTAGGTCCGTCCATGTCATTGCAAATGGTAGGATTTCATTTTTTTTTAATGGCTGAGTAATATTCCATTGTATATATGAACCATAATCTCTTTATCCAATTGTCTGTTGATGGGCATTTAGGTTGCTTCCATATCTTGGCTATTGTAAATTGTGCTGCAGATACTTCTCCAAAGAGGAAATACAGATGGCTAACAGACATATGAAAAGATGCTCAAGGTTGCTAATCATCAGAGAAATGCAAATTAAAACCACAATGAGATATCACCTCACACCTGTCAGAATGGCTATCATCAATAAATTGAAAAACAGCAAGTGTTGTTGAAGATGCAGAGAAAAGGGAACCCTCATACATTGTTGGTGGGATTGCAAATTGGTATAGCTGCTATGGAAAATAGTATGGAGGTTCCTCAAAAATTAAAAAATAGATATACCTTTTGACCCACCAATTGCACTTCTGGGTATTTATCCAAAGAAAACCAAAACAATAATTCATAAAGATCTATGTACTCCAATATTCATGGCAGTACCCTGTCTTTTGATTGGAGCATTTAATCCATTTATATTTGAAATAATTATTGATAGATAGGTAGTTATTGCCATTTTGTTATTCATATTTTTTATCTTCGTTCCCCTTCTCCTCTTTCTCCTTCCTGAAGTTGCTCTAATATTGCTTATAATACATGTTTGGTGGTGATGAACTCCTTTAGCTTTTTCTTGTCTGGAAAGCTCTTTACCTGTCCTTCGATTCTAAATGATAGTCTTGCTGAGTAGAGTAATTTCGGTTGTGGGTCCTTGCTTTTCATCACTTTGAATATTTTGTGCCAATCCCTTCCGGCCTGCAAAGTTTCTGTTGAGAAATCAGCTGACCTTATTGGGGCTCCCTTGTAGGTAACTAGATGCTTTTCTCTTTCTGCTTTTAAGATTCTTTGTCTTTAAACTTTGGCATTTTAATTATGATGTGTCTTGGTGTGGGCCTCTTTGGGTTCATCTTGTTTAGAACTCTCTATGCTTCCTGGGCTTAAGTATATTTCTCTCACCAGGTGAGAGAAGTTTTCCATCATTATGTCTTCAAATAGGTTTTCAAATCCTTGTGCTCTCTCTTCTTCCAGTACCCCTATGATGCAAATGTTGGAATGCTTGATATGTCCAAAAGGCCTCTTAAACTATTCTTATTTTTTGGTATTGTTTTTTTCTTGTGGCTGTTCTTATTGGGTGTTTTCTGTTACCTTATCTTATAAATCGGATTTGAACCTCTGTTTTATCCAATCTACTATTGATTCCCTCTAATGTATTCTTCATTTCTCACTGGTTCTTTTTTATGTTTTCTATCTCCACTTTTATATTTTCTATCTCTTTGTTAAAGTTCTCACTGAGCTCATCTCTTCTTCTAATTTCAATGAATATCCTTATAGCCAGTGTTTTGAACTCTGCATCTAGTAGACTGTCTTCATTTTATTTAGTTCTTTTTTTCTGGAGTTCATTCTGTTCTTTCATTTGGGATATGTTTCTTTGTCTCCCCATTTTAGCTGCCTTCCTGTGATTTTGTTTTGTTGTTGTTGTTGTTTGTTTGTTTGTTTGTTTTTTATGTATTAGATAGGGCAGCTATGTCTCCTGGTTTTAGTAGAGTGGCTTTATGTAATAAGTGTTCTGTGGGGCCCAGTGGCATCGTCTCCCTGGTTACTTGAGCTGGGTGCTCCTGGTGTGTCCTTTGTATGCGTTATGTGTGCCCTCCTGTTGTAGTTGAGCCTTGGTTGCTATTTGCACATGAATGGGAGGGATTGACTCACAGCTGATTGTTCATGAGTTCTGGTCAGTAACTACAGTGGAGAAGCTGTTATCTAGGGGCCAACCCTACAAAGCAGGATTTGCTTTAGCAGGGCTCTGGTGTCTGCCCTGTCTGCCCTTTGGATGTGTTGTCCTTAGATGTGGCCCTAGGTGGTACTGTTGCATGGTCCAAAGCTGGCCTCTGGGTGTGCTGGCCCTGAGGACACGTGGCATGAATCACCAAGCCAGCCACAGATGGCTTTCACTTATGCTGGGCTTGGAGATTTCTTTAGAGGCCAAGCCACTAACCAAAGCCAGATGCTGCTAGTGCCATGCTTGGGGGTCCTCATTAAGAGGCATGGGGCACATTGAGGCCAGGTGCTGCTTGTGTGGGTTTTGTGAAAATTTGAGAGATTTTAGAAAAGCCCTCAGCATCAGCCAAGATATGCCGTTTGTATGGAAAAGCCACTGGAAGTGGCTTGGGTGGGCTCACAAGGTGGGTGGGTGCAGAGTCTCAGGGAATTACCAAGGAAGGGCAAATGGTGTTAGCCAGGTTGATGGAGACTCAGACATGGTGGCTGCCTGGCTCTGCACCCTGGAAGAGGGGAGAGTTCAACAAAGAAACAATGGATTCTACCAACACTTTTATCTGGAAGAAAGCTGCTCCTCCAGCCCTCACCCTAAAGCTAGACAATTCAGTTTCTCCCTATATGTCCCCAGCACCTTGTAAGTGGCTGCCCCAGTGCTGGAGCTTAGAGCAAATGAGTCCATCACTGAGCAAGTCCATGTGTGAGCCCCCTATAAGAGAAACACCTGGGATTCTAGTCGCCCTCATCTTGCTTAGCCACAATCTTCACAATCAAAAATAAGGGGACTTCTCTTCCCGGTACTTGAACACTGGGCTAGGGAGCCTAGTATGGGACTGTGACCCCTTACTCTTCAGGGAGTACTTTCCCAGTCGAAATATCTCTCCCAATTTTTAACCACCACATGTGGGTGTAGGACCAGCCCCTTTGGAGTTTGCACCTGGGGTAACTTCTTTTGAATATCCTTAGTGTAGGACTTCTGTTCGGCTAGACTTCAGGTGATTCTCCATGCCTGTTTTGTAGTTTAGTTTAATTTCGATATGGTCATGAGAGATATTAAGCAGAGTGTTTACCTACTTTGCCATTTTGACAGGAAATTCCCAATGTGTCCTCTTTAACACACAAATCAGATCATCCCACTTCTGTACTAGCAATCAGTCAACAGCTTCTTATTGCTCTTAACACAAGAACAGATACTCCAGCAAGGCTTATACAACAAGAAAGTTCCAGCCTGTGCTGACCTCTTCAATCCCACCTCACTCTATTCTCTATTTTTATTTTCTAAAATATGCTTCTTCCCAACTCAGAGACTTTGTACATATTATTCCATCTGTCTGGAACCTTTTTGTTTATTATTAGTGCCCAGACACTTGTCATTTAGTAATCCCTACTTCTTCTTCATGTCTTAGCATGCCTCAAGAGAACTTTCTACAATCTCTCTCAGACCAGAGTAGAACACCATATTTCATCCAAAAGACTGTTCTCCACCTCAGCATGGATCACACTTTCATGTTCAATGTCCTGCTGGACTCAAACTCCAAGGAGGTAAGATGGCTGTCTTGTTCACTGCCATATCACCATCACTTAGCCAGAATCTAGCACCTAATGGGTATCCAAAAAATGCTTGCTGAAGACACAAATCCTTCACAAACATTAAGGTTACAATTCAAAGTTGCCAGCATGGCTCAATGAAATCCTCAATATTGATATATGTTTAGCAATTTTTCTATTTAGAATTTTAAAAAATGAAATTAAAACATTCAATTAAAAAATTCTGGCGTTTTGAGCCATGCTTTTCTTGCTCAGGCCCACTTCTACATCTGGAAGTACTTTCCTTTCTAATAAAACTTTTCTTTTCTACTGTAAAAAAAAATCATAATTGAAAGACTCATCTAGAACTCTGGATCTTCTCTGAATTATCCCCTAGCACAGCTACATCTAGTAGTAGTTATTGTTATAAGAGAAATAGTAATAATCAAAGCTGATATTTATGGAGGGTCAACACTGTGCCCAGCTCATGGAGGAAACTGAGGTGTATAGAAATTGGGGGATTTTCTGAAGTTTATACAGCTAGCAATTGGTGGAGCCATAGTCACAAAAACCCATGGTCCAAAACATGCTTTGGATGCTCTCAGTCCCTCAATCTTTGGGAAAGACAACCTTTCAAACACAGGGGAACCTCTCTTTACACACTGAAGACTAAGAGCATCAACTACAGAATCCAAAAGAAATACATTTTTATCTGTAAGTAAAATGTCTCCAAATATACCCCAGTTAATTTCACCACATTGCCAGGAGCAATTCTCCCCCAGGCAACATTTTATTCAAAGCAGTTGATCCTACCGGAAGAAAGAGTCTCTGGGCAGCACAGGGTTTAAATAACTTCTTCCATTCCTGAGGGTTTCCAACAGAAAACGTGATGGGGTAGATTCTGTGCTCAAACTTCTTTGTGTATGAGTCAGGCCATTGTCGTAACTGAAAAATACGAATGGAAAGGGGAGTATGATTAGACCTCGTAAATATGGAAAACACCTAAAGCTTCTGAATGGTAAAGTGGAATTTATTCAGACAACTTATATAGAAAATCTAACTTCATCATCACTGTCAATGCTCACTAAAGGAAAGATCATTGCCAGGACTGAAAATAATATCCAGAGGTGGCAAAGGTGATAGGAAACACACATAAACACTGTGAGGAGAGTATAAATTTGAACAAACTTCCTAGGAGGCAATTTGGAAACAAAAACCTCAAAAGACAGAGATACAGGACTTTCACCAAAACCTATTTTGTAATTCAAAAAACTGGGAACAAATTATACGCCCAATAATAAGAAATTGGGAAAATTCATTATAGAAATATACAATGGACTACTGTATAGTTAGAATAAAATAGATCTATATGTGTTAATGTGGAAAAATGGTTATAATGTATAGTTACGATTTATAAAAAGCAAAGTGAAAAAAAATTTATAATATGCTTGTCTAATAGGGAAAAGCATAAGCATCTATATTTTCTATGTAGAGAAAAATCTGAACAGGTGTACATCAAAATGTTAAAAGTGGTCACCAATGGTGCTGGTGGTTTCATTTTCCAAGTTTATACTTCTGTATTCTTTAGAACTTTTACCTACCTTGCATATATTAGTTTTATAATAAGATTATTTTAATTACTAGATAATTTTTAGAGCTTTATGCTTACAGAAAAATTGAGCAGGATGTACAGAGTTCCTATATATCTCCTTACCTTCCTCTCCTCTTCCCAGTTTCCCCTATTTTTAACATCTTGCATTAGTATGTTATATTTGTTACAATTGATGAACCATTGTTGATACATTATTAAGTAAAGTCCATAGTTTACATTAGAGTTTATTCTTTGTGTTGTACAATTTTGTGCATTTTGACAAATTCATGATGTCTTATTATTAAAATATCATAGAGAATAGTTTCACTACCCTAAAAATCCCCTCTGTTACATTTATTCATTCATCCATCCCCCTCCCCACTGAACTCCTGGCAACCACTGATCTTTTTACTGTCACTTAGTATTGCCTTTGTCAGAATGTTATATAGGTGGAATCATATAGTATATGGCTTTTACAGATTGGCTTCTTTTACTTAGCTTGTTTATTTTATCACTGACTAATAGTCTATTGTATGAATATATCAATTTATTCCATTGTGTGTATATATCAGTTTATCCATTTACCTATTGAAGGACATCTTGGTTGCTTCCAGTTTTAGTTGATTCCAAATAAACCTGCTATAAACTATCATGTGCAAGTTTTTGTGTGGACATTTTTTTTCAATTCATTTGGGTAAATAACAAAGAGTGGAATTGTTGGATTGTATAGTCAGTCTACATTCAGTTGTTTTTAAATTTTTAATTTTATTTATTTTATTTAGTTTCAAGTATGTAGTACATTGGTTAGACATCTATATAGTTCATAAAACGATCCCCCCAACTGCTCCCTCTCTCCACTGACCCTCCACCTAGCCAAAATATTAATGCTAATTGCATTCTCTATGCCATGCTCCCCATCCTTGTGACCATCCATCAGCTATTAATTTGTACTTCTTTAACCCTTTACCCAATTCGCCCAGTCCCCCAACCCTCCTTCCCCTTTGTTCATCACTAAATTTTCCATTATATTTGTGAGTCTGTTTTTGATTAGTTTGTTCTTTTTATTCCTTAGATTCTGCATATAAGTGAAATCATATAGTGTTTATCTTTCTCTGTCTGACTTAAATACCTTCTAGGTCCATCAAAGCAATATCCTTTTCTATTTAGTCTGTGCATCTTTTAATCTGAAGTGAGTCTCTTATCAGCAGCATAGGTAGGGGTCTTGTTTTCCTATCATTTTAGCCACTTTATCTTTTGGTTAGAGCCCTTAATTCTTTCCATTTAAGGTACTTATTGATAGGATGTAATTGTTACCACTCTTTATTCCTATTTTTGATAGATGTTTTTACTTCTTAAAGAAGCCCCTCCAAAATTTCCTGTAATACTGGCTTGGTGTTGATAAATTCCTTTAGTTTATTTTTGTTTAGGAAGCTCTTTATCTGTCCTTCAACTCTAAATGATAGCTTTGCTAGATAAAGTATTCTTGGTTGTAGATCCTGGGTCTTCATCATGTTAAATATTTGTGCCAAGCCCTTCTGACCTGCATAGTTTCTTTTGAAAAATCAGCTGCCAGTCTATAGGTAACTATCTGTTTTTCTCTTGCTGCTTTTAATAGTCTTTCTTTGTATTCAAACTTTGGCATTTTAATTACAATGTGTCTTGGTGTGGGCTTCTTTGGATCCTTGGTTTTGGGGATTCTCTGAGCTACCTGGGGTTTTATGTCCATTTCCTTCACCAAGTTAGGGAAGTTTTCCATCATTATTTCTTCAAACAGCTGTTTGACATCTTGATTTTCTTCAGTTATGCTGATCACCTGGATATTTGGACCCTTAATAGTGTCCCATATTCTCCTTAAATTATTTTTATAGTCTTGGCATCTTATCTCTTGCCATTCTGATTCTGTGTCCTTGGCTTTCCCATCCTCTAGATAGGGCATTTGATCATTTTCTTTATTCACTTTGTTTATTCCTTTGTTTACTCCATTTAATATACTTTTCATCTCAGATAATGTGTTCTTCATTTCAGACTAGTTCCTTTTTATAATTTCCATTTCCATTTTTATGGGTTTTTTTTTATTTCTTTGTTGATTTTATCTACACTTCTCAAAAGTTCATTGAGCATCTTTATAACCAGTGTTTTGAACTGTGTATCTGTTAGATTACTTGACTCCATTATATCTGGATCTCTGTTCTGTTCTCTCATATAGTTTCTGTCTTCCCATTTTGGCTGTCTTTCCGTGTCTGTTTCTATGTACTAAGCAAAGCTCCTAAGTCTCTCAATCTTAATAGTGCGGATTTGTGTAGTAGGTGTCCAGTGGCACAGTCCTGAGAGGGGTTCAGCTCAGGCCAAATTTGATCCAAGCTTCTGTTCCTCTAGGGCCACCTGTTAAGATTTAACAAGCAATCCACAGATGCTGTGCTTATAGTTGCTTCAAAAGGCCACACCAGAAACCGAGACCAGTTGCCACCAGTGTGAGTTTTGGTGCTTCTCACCAAGGAGCACCTGACTCACTGAGGATGTACCCGAATGTGGCTTCGGTGTGGCCGCGAGATGGGGGAGGCAGGGTTTCAATGTACATATGTTGTTTATATTGTCACAAAATTTTTTGAAAAAATATATTATTGGGAATACTTTAAATTTACAATTTTGAGATCGATATTTGGGAGAGAAATCTCAAAATGAGAAAGAGTAAGAGTGATAGAGTATTGGACAACTCACTTATGAAGGACACTGACCAATCAGAACCCACATCAGTACAAATGCATGAACACATCAGAACTGATACTAGGCATAAACATTTAGTGTAACAGTAACACCAATCAGAATAGCCAGTACAATTATGCCCCGCACAACAGCCCAAAATCAGCTCTGAAGGGAGAACAGGAAGGTCCCAGCTCTAATGGTTTCCTTGACTCTTTAACCTTTACCATCCTATCTTCTAGAAGGGTTTATTTATCTTTGTCAATCTTTGTCTTTTAACTGGAATGTTCAGTCCATTTACATTTTTTACTATGCATATATACAAATAGTATATTGATTGTAGCCACTGGAAGATTCCGTTGACATTTCTTCCCATGGCAGAGCTACACACACACACGTGGGGGGGAGGGTGGAGTGAGTGACTGCATGAGGATGTTGCTGCCTTACTGCCTCCACCTATCACCAGAATAGATTGATGGCCATCTCCACTTCTGTGTCCCACTATTTCCTGATACTGAGTATGGGGCAGGAGCACATATTAGACAAACCTTAATCACATGTCTGATTCTGAGCTGCCTAGACAGTCTAGTAAATTAACCAACCAGCTAAAACTTTAAAATACTAAAGACCTACAGTGTAGGTGGTAAATATCATCAGAAATATTGTACTTAGGCAGCTTTAAAAGATTCCATTTAAATAGAACTTGTCCACAACACAACTTTTAGACAAATCATGATGGCAATTAACATTTTGTTTTGTTTTTACCCTGAGGTATGTGACTCTGCACTTCCTGGGAAGTTATCACAAGAAACTCTGGATATTCCCCCAACTGCTGCTGGTTGGTTTCTTCGGGCTAACACAGTGCCCAAATGTTCCAAAGAATCTTTGAGGAATGAGACAATATTAGATTATCTGATTCAGCCTCACAATTGCACTCTGAAAGAAGCAGATCAAGAATCATTTGCCTCTTTTTATATCTACTATAAGTTTTTTGCTTACACTTTGATACAGATGAAAAAATTGGGGCTGTGACTTATGTAAGTGCCAATATTTTAAATCTAAAATGGCACCATAATTCCAGTATGTAAAAGAAGGGGGTGACACCATAGTCCCTGCCTAGCTTTTAACAACCTATTATAATTTCTTTTCTTAGTTGAGCTTCACTGATCTAACAAAGACTTGAGTAAAAATGAGCCATCAAAGGAGTAAAGTCATCAGGGCAATTCAAAACATAGCACAATTTCACAAGTAGCTATAATGATTTCCCCCATGCAATTTAGTACCTAATTTATAATGTTCCAGTAACTATGGCTCACAACAAATTACCTTAAAACTTACTAGTATAAAACAACCATTTATTATGCTCACAGATTCCGTGGATCAGGAGTTTGGACAAGGCCCAGAAGGGACAGCTTGACTCTGTTCCACAATGTCTGGGACTTTAGCTAGAAGCCTCGAAGGCTGGGGGCTGGAATCATCTGAAAGCTCATTCACTCACATGTCTGGTGGGTGAGGGTAGTTATTGGCTGGGGACCTAAAGGGGACCTTCCCTTTATCTTTTTTGTTAAACTCCAAGTCTACAGTTTCCTCTCTGTGTGGATCTCTGTGTGCGGTCTCTCCATACAGACTAGTTTGGGCTTCATCATAGCATGGTGTCCAGTTTCCAGGGGCAGGAATCCCAAGAAAGAACCAGGCAGAATCTGTATGATCTAGCCTCATGCCGCAAACATTACATTCGTAATACACTATCTTACACATACATACATACCATGTATGTATATGTATATGTATTAAGTATTGCCTTAAAACAAATTACCCTAAAAGTTCGTAGCTTAAGACCAAAAACATTTATTTTCTTATATAGTTTCTTAGGGTCAGGAATCTATGAGCTGGGTTGTCCTGGCTCAGGGCTTCTCATGAGGTCTCAGCTCAACTGTTAGCTGGGGTGATAGATATTTGAGGGCTAGATAGGGCTGAAGGCTATGTCTCCAAGTTCACTCATATGAGTGTTGGTAAGAGGCCTTCATTCCTTAACACATAGTATTCTCCAAGGGCTTCTCTGACATGGCTTGCCTCAGAGCAAGTGATCCAAAAGAGAGAATGTGAACAAGATGTAAGATGCAGTGCCTTTTTTTAACCTAATTCTGAAGTGATATATCATCACTTCTTCCCTATGCTATTGATCACACAGACCAACTCTGGGACAGTGTAAGAGGGAAGTACACAAGGGCATGAATAACAAGAGGTGGAACCACTGGGAGCCTCTTTGGAAAATACAATCTGCCACACATGTATGGTTATATGCACATATCTTTCCTTCCCCTTATCTTTTTTGTTAAAGTCCAAGTCTCTATTTTTCTTCTGCACCATCTTCATGCCCCAGCTTCTAGCATGTAGTAGGCACTCAATAAGTACTTGTCAAATGGATATTATACAAGACATTCTTAACGTTTGCCTATAACCAGTTTCCTCCTTTCCCACACACAAAGTACTTCTTAGCCCCCTTGGAGTTGGGTGGGCCTTGTGAATACTTCTGGACAATTCAATGTGAGCAAAAAAGACTTGTGTCATTGCCAAGCTGAGGGAATAAAAAGCACAATCATGATCTGCTAGTCTCTGTCTTTCCTGTAGTGGCATTCCAAGAACTACAGAGGCTCCATAGTTCCAGCAGATGTGCCTATAAGCATGAATAGTCTGTCAACTTTGGTACCATGCCTAAGTGGTTGTGTGGGTAGAGACCCTGCTACTTGTGTAAGACAGGCAGCAGGCATATGAAAAGTCTCTGAGCTTTTTGGGAGTTGTTATATCAGCCTGAGCTGATTATAGATGTATCATCTCTTTTATTAATCCTGCTAGCCCCCAAGTTGAACATGGGGAAATTGAAACTCAAAAAAGCCACAAGACTTGTTGAGATTATCCAGCAAGTAAATAGTGGATCTCAGTTTTCTGTCTCCTAGTTCAGGTGGTAGTAAAGTATGGTGGTTAAGTTTATGAAGGTTTGAGTCACCTTAACTGACACCTGATGAGCAAAACACTAAAACTCACTAAGCCTCAGTGATGTCAGTTTGTAAAATAGGGACATGATTGTTATCTTTTCCAAAGGGTTGTTGTGAAGATTAAATAGGAGTAAATTATAAATTATAAACCCTTCATCATTTCCCTGTACCGCAGCTTCAGAGCAGCTATGTGCATTTAAATCTTTTTCTTTTCTCCTTACCCTGACTCAGATCATTTTCAAGACATTTTGCAATCAATTTCAAAACCCCAAGACTATTTGTTTCCCTGGCTTCTCTTGGTAAAGATGTCAAGGTGATTATTTTTCTTTAGAAAATGTAACACATTTTCTAGCTTTCTGTTAGTAGCCTTTCTCTGCCCAACATGCTTCTTTGGCATTTCTCATTTGTGCCGCTAGCCTGGTAGCAGGATGCAGCACTGTTGACTCAAGTCGGTAGATACAAAACAAAACAGGTTCTTGTTCTGCCATTACTTAAGAACTTACTGCAAGAGAAGATTTTCAAGGAAAACAAAGCTTGGTCTGCAAAGTAACATATTTACCTAGTCCATCCTAATTATAGATGGGGAAAAGAGGCATTTCCAAAGCTTTCCTCCTGTATTGTTCCTATATTTGTTCCTCAATATAGGAACAGTTAAATAAATGATGACCCAGGTACATAATAAGATATTATGTAGTCACCAAAAAGGATAAGGTAAGAATGTATGAATCCTGACTTGGAATGATGCCGACGATATGGTTTCAAGTTAGGAAAGGCAAATTACAGAATAACACATAGAGAATAATCTGAATTTTGTAAAAGAAATATATTTTAAGCTCAGTACACCTATATATAGTCATGTATTATGTATATGCCTATATGTATACAGATATACATATATATATACACATATATACACTCTGACGCAGATAAACACACACACCTATATATGGAAAAATACAAAAGAATCACTCAAAATTGTTAATTCTAATAGTTCCTTGGGTAAGACTGAAGGGTAGCAAGGACTGCCACCTTTTAGTTTTAACATCTATATTGTTTGAATTTATTTTAACGAACATGTATTACATCATTCACAAAACGTATATAAACAGATAAAAATAAGCTACCTATCCCCCAAGTGAGAACAATGTTGATAATACCAAGAGGGATTAAGTTCTGGGTCAAGTACTTTAAGTAAATCATCTCATTTAATCCTCATAATACCTCTATAAGATAGACGTAATTATCTCTATATTAGAGATGAGAACACTAAGGCTCAGAGTTAAGGTTTCACAGTCACACAGTTGAGTATACAGCAAAATACATTAGTGAATAGGATATGCATTTCCCAAAATACAGTCTGGTTGTACTTAGTAAATATTAGACCGTGATTTCTGCAAATTCACCTGCTTATCAAACTCGGGCTTCAGAGATTCTTCTGTGAAAATGTGAAATTGCATCTTCCTGTGGCTAAAAAGCACGGCTGATTTAAGCATGACCAGCGTCTCCTCCAATCGATTGCCACAGGCCACCACAGCAAGGTGGATCCAGAGTTTAGGTGGCAGCACAGCATGGAAACTCCTGGGTTCTCCAGGCCTCCTAGAAAGAAGAAAAAGGAAGGAAAAAGTTAAAGCTATTACTAAACTCATAAAAAAAAAAAAAGCAGCTAGTAAATGGTTGGAACATTTGAAAACATGAATAGGCACAATCTGTTATATTTTATAAAGTGATAAGCATTTTGACAATTCTTCCTTCTTAGAAAAAATACCATTTATTCCAATATTTTGCCTGGCAGTAGCAGGATGAGTCACTGTTTGGACTGCTATAGGTGTCTGAGACTTTTTTTTGCCAGCATTCAGCTGTCTAGTGCCTGCTGGCTGCCTAATGGCCCATGTTTGGAAATAGCATTGCTAAACTTTGACAGCTGACATAAGGACTGTGGAGCTCCCACTTGCATAGGCCATGGAAATTATATTTAATGCAACTTGAACAAGAGGAGGGTGGGTTATTGCTTTCCCATGTGAAATGAGCAACATGATATTCCCATCATCTGGATGGGTTTAGGTTGTGATGAAATGCATGACCACTGAACCAAAGGAAAATCATACAAGTCTGGGACATGAGCAAAGAAACCACACATGTGCCTCCATTACATCTTAGGAAAGTCTTAAAGAAACAGGTGTTAATCTTAACCGTCTCACTTAAGGTTGCTGAGATAGTAGGTGTGAAGTTTAGCTTACAGTATGAAACTGATATTAATGAGAAACAGGCAGGAGAGGGGGCAGGTTAAGCTGAAAATTACCAAGGTATCAAATAGCGAATCAACAGCTGAGAGGCAACTAGGATCCAAGAATCTAGAATCATCATCCAGCTATTTCCTCATAATAAAAGATTTGTTCCAGACAAGGAGATGTAGCCAAGCCTCAAACACACCACTGAGAAACATTTGCAGGCAAGCTGGAAGAAGTTGGCTTGGAAAAGGTGCCCTGAGACAAATGAAACTAATTTACTTGTACAAAAGATTCAGAGACCAGGGGAACTTGGACGTCAAATGCTACCTGCCTTCCAAAAACTTTGAGTACAATCAACATACTGCTCCATTATTCACTGCTTTGCTGAATAATGGCAGCCTTGCTCCAGATTTGTTTTGCCAGGAAGAAATTTGAAGATATGGGTGGAGCACTTTGGGTAGTTCTCCAATTTGATTACTTAGGAGAGTGCTTACTAGAAGCACAGCCTCCTGGCTCAGCTAAGCCCAGATGCAGAGTTACCAGATTCTACTTATTTCAGGGATCACAGGAAAGACAGTAGAGATGTCCTAAGTATCTCCCTAAATTGTCCATTCTCTTCATCCTCCTTTTGCTATGTGACAAAGCCATCATCTTCCCTCACCTTGATAAGTGTGATAGGCCCCCTTTAAGTGAAAAAGATGAGTACAGTACCATAAGATACTTTGAGATAAAAAAGAGGCTATGTTCACATAACTTTTAATACAGTATGTTTTTATAATTGTTGTATTTCATTATTGTTGTTAATCTCTTACTGTGCTGAATTTATAAATTAAACTTTATCATAGGTATATATGTATAGGAAAAAATATAATATATACAGTAGTTCCCTTTTATTCATGATAGGTACATTCTAAGACCCACAGTGGATACCCAAAACCTTGAATAGTACTGAACCCTATATATACTAAGTTTTTTCCTATATATGCATGCCTTTTCACTTAGAAGAATCACTTTATAGTTCCTCCTTGGCATATCCAAATTGCCAGCATCACTACTCTTACATTTTGGAGCCATTATTGAGTAAAATAGAGGTTTCTTGAACACAAGTACTTCGATACCCCTACAACCAATCTGATAACTAAGATGGCTACTAAGTGGCTAATGGGTGTGTAACGTATACAGTGTGGATATGTTGGAAAAAAGGATGATTCGCATCCTGAGCAGAACTGAGTGGGATAGCAGGAGAGTTCATCATGCTACTCAGAATGGCTTGTAATTTAAAACTTATGAACTGTTTACTTTTGGAATTTTCCATTTAATATTTTCAGACCTTGGTTGACTGTAGTTAACTGAAACCAGAGATAAGGGGGGACTATTGCAGTGAATGAAATAGACCAAGATGCCTGCCTTTACAGAAGTTACATTCTACAGGTGGTAGGGGAAAGACAAAGAAAGAAATAACAGTTGAAGAAAATAGTAACTAAGTAACTTACATAGAAAGTTATCCAGTGATAAGCACTATAAAGGAAATATATAGTTGAGCAGGAAGAGATACAGAAGAGGCTGCTGGATTGATACATATATAGTGCAAAACAGCAAGAGGCCTAAGAAGGTAAGATCTGCAGAGGGAATTAAGGATGCTGTAGAATGTAGAGGCTGGACATGCCTCTTCTAGTGACCACACCAAAATTATAACAAAACTACAGAGCAACCAGTATGCAGAGTCGCCAGAGGTCTGGCTGAACAGAAGCCCTACAACTAGGTCACCTTAAAATGGTAGGAATGAAGACACGAAATGGCCCAGTCCCACAACCGCATGTGGTGATCAAGAACCAAGAGGGCTATCTTGGCTGCAGAGCCCCATCTCCCACCTGAGGTGAGAGGGGTCACAGCCGAACACTGGGCTCCCCAGCCCAGGGTTCCAGTGCCGGGAAGAGAAGACCCCACAATCTCTGGCTGTGAAAACCAGCAGAGGTTGTGGCTGAGATAGAGGGCTGTGGGAAGCAGAGACCTTCCTCTTAAAGGGTCCACACCTGATCTTTTTCACCTACAGACTTGCTTGCTCTGAGCTCTAGCACTGAGGCAGCTGCTCGAGGGGTGCCAGGGACATATAAGGAGACACTTAGCTATCGGGCGTTCGGGCGAGGGCTAGAAGGGTGGCTGACTCTGCACAGAGGTGCAGGCAGAAGCCACTGTTCTTTTGTTGAGCCCTCCCTGCTCCCAGCCTGCAGACACAGGCACCATAAACCTGGATAACCCAGGTCACTCCACCCAGGGGATTCCCTGAGACTCCACCTCTCCAAACTTGAGGGCCCACCCAAGCCTCCTCCAGTGATTTATTCCATACAAATGGGCTGTCTCAGCTACTTTTATGAACTTTCATAAAATCTCTCAAAGGCTCACAAAACCCATAGAAGCAGCATCTGGCCTCGGCATACCCTGTACCTCTTGCTGAGCAGCCCCCAAGCCCTGCATCAGTGAGAGCCAGCCCTGCTTATTGACTTGCCTCCCCGAGGCACCTGTAAGCTCAGCACAGGTGGCAGCCATATGTGGATTGCTTGGTGACGCTTACCAGGTGGCCCCAGAGGTGCATAGGCTGAGGCTGAATGTGGCCTGCAGCTGGAACCCTCCCAGGTCTGTGCCAAGGGGCCCCACAGCACACATACTACATAAAGCCACTCTACTAAGACTTGGAGACTTAGGAGCCCTACATAATACATAGAGATAGATACAGAAAGGCAGTCAAAATGGGGAGACAAAAAATCATGTCTCATGTGAAAGAACAGAACAAAGCTCCAGAAAAAGAATTCACCAAAATAGAGAAGCAATATACCAGATACAGAGTTCGAAACACTGGTTATTAGGATGCTCAAGGAACTCAGGGGAAGAGCAGACGAATTCAGTGAAAACTTTAACAAGGAGATAAAAAGCATAAAAATGGAGATGGAAAACATAATAGAAAGCCAATCAGAAATGAAGAATATAATATCCAAGATGAAGAGTACATCAGAGAGAATCAACTGAGTGGATGAAATGGAGGATGGAATTAGTGACATAAAGGATGGGCTAGCAGAGGACACTCAGAACGGCAACAAGAAAAAAAGAATACAAAAAAAATGAAGATAGTTTAAGAAGCCTCTTTCTCCTGGGCAGAAGTGCCGGTGGTATCCATTTTTTCTCTGTTGAGCCCTCCCGACTCCCAGTGTGCAGATGCAGTGCTGCCATAGCTGAAAGGTCATCAGACTGAATAACAAAGGTTACTCCACCCAGAGGATTCCCTGAAACTCGGCCTCCCCCAACTCGAGGGCCCACCCAAGCCACATCCAGATGTGTCCTCGGTGAGTCAGGTGCTCCTTGCTGAGAAGCGCCAAGACTTACACTGGTGACAGCTGGCCTTGGTTTCTTGTGTGGTTTCATGAGGCAACTATAAGCACAGCATGTGTGGATTGCTTGCTGAATCTTAACATGTGGCCTTGGAGGGACACAGGCTGGGGCTAAACTTGGCCTGCAGCTGAACCTCTCTCAGGACTATGCCACTGGACACCTGCTACACAAAGCTAAACTAATAAGACCAGGAGACTTAGGAGCTTTGTGCTTAACATAGAAACAGACATAGAAAGTCAGCCAAAATGGGAAGACAAAGAAGCAGAAACCACATGAGAGAATAGAACAGAGATCCAGGAATAGAGGAGTCAAGCAATCTAACAGATGCAGAGTTCAAAACACTGGTTATAAAGGTGCTCGGTAAACTTAGGGGAAGTGTAGATGAATTCAGTGAGAACTTTAACAGATAAAAAAGGCAACCAGTCAGAAATGAAGAACACATTATCAGAGATGAAGAGTATATTAGAAGGAATCAACACAGTGGATAAAGAAGAGGATCAAACTACTGATATAGAGGATGGGGAAGCCAAGGTCACTCATTCAGAATGGCAAGAAAAAAGAAGCCAAGACTATAACAATAACTTAAGGAGCCTATGGGACACTATTAAATGTAAAAATATCTGTGTCATAGAGGTACCTGAAGGAAAATAAGAAGTTGAAGAGCTATTTAAAGAAATAATGATGGAAAATTTCCCTCACATGGTGAAGGAAATAGACATAAAACCCCAGGAAGCTCAGAGAGTCCAAAGAAAGAGGAGCTCAAAGAGGTCCACACCAAGACACATCACAATTAAAATGCCAAAGGTTAAATACAAAGAAAGAATATTGAAAGCAGCAAGAGAAAAACAGATAGTTATCTATAGGAGAACACCCATAAGACTGGCAGCTGATTTCTCAAAAGAAATTACGCAAGACAGAAGGGCTTGGCACAAAATATTTGATGTGATGAAAATCCAGGATCTACAACCAAGAATACCTTATCCA